GCAACTTTCCTTGTTTACAGGCTCTTCCTGGAGGGAGGAGGGAGGGAGGGGTGTGTGTGTGTGGCCAGAAACCAGGGAAGGGGTGCCTGGTGGGAGCCTCACTGCTCCTCCCTCCTGCCTGGGGCCTCAGAAGGCAGGGCTTGAAATCAGATCAGCCCGACCTTGCTTGGTTTCACTTCGCTTCTACCGAGAGCACAGCGCTCAGCTGAGGAGTGGGTCGCCAGAGGGAGCCTGGTGCATCTGGTGCTGCTCTGGGGCAGGCTGGTGAATTTCCACCTTGACCCTGCAAGATGGAACATGCAAGCCTGGGGGACCCCGGAGCCAGACACCCTGATCACGAGCGGGCTGGGCCACACCGGGCAAGTTACCTGTGCCTCGGTTTCCTCATTAGTTTTCAAAGCCACTGGTAATACCGTGTACTTCCTAGAACTACTGTGAGGATTAAATAAGCTAACACAGGTAAAGCCCTCACACGAGGATGCATAAGGGATGAGCACTCGTAACGTGTTTGCTGCGACAATGATGCTATAACGTGTTCCTTCTCAGCAGGTGCCTTATGTCTATACCTTGAAAGGTAGGAGAATTCCAGCATCCCCAGTGACGCTCTGGCCACGGTCACTCCCCTAGTTCAAAGAGGACACATACCTTCAGTGTCACCTGAGGACACCTAATCCAAAAGGCTCCCAGGATGACCCCTTTCAAAGTCCCTGGGGGCCCCAAGATGAACTGTTGCGGGGCGGGGCGGTGGGTGTCCTCTGGGCGTCCAAAGCCCAGCTATAGATTGTAGTCCAGATGAGCAGTGGGATCGAGCAGCCCCGAGACTTGGTCTCTTTCCCTATCTGCCTTCCCTTCTCCTTTAACCTTTTCGAGATGCGGGAGGAGCCTGGCTTTTCTTAGACAGGACTTCAGCTCCTTCCGATCTCAGTTCAACACGGTGGATGAGGCGGAGGTGGGAAAAGAGAAAGCCCTCCAATTCCTCCCTAGGATGTGGGTTAGCAAACGTAGGAATCTGGGGGACCAGCTACCAGCAACAAGTAATGCACAAAATCTCAACACGGTCAGCCCCCAATAAAATATAGCCTGGTCCTTTGGACCTAACCTGACTCTCATTACAGGTGTCCACAAATGGCACTGCCAGCCCTAAGTTTCTTCTGTGCTCCCTCTGGCTCTCTACTCCCACCATCTGATTGAGCCTTAAACCCTCAGGACCAAGGGCAACATTCTGAGGAACAGAGAAGGGCTGCAGGGAGTGGAAACCTGAGTGTGGAGGGGAAGGAAGGTCAGGGAACAGACGCCGGAACACAGAGCCTGGCTTCACTGTCACCACATTGGGGAGATCCGAAGCTGGGGTCTGCAGACCAAGTTCAGTTACCCCCAGAACTGCCTGGATGCAGGTATAAGAACCCAGAGACTCTCCCAGGGAGGCTAGAGGCTGCCCTGGCTGACACCATCTGTCACCCCTGATGGCCAGGGCAGAAGACGGTGGTCTGAGCAGCGCTGGCTGAGCAAGAGATGCTGTCCCTGAATACAGCCCCAGGGATCTTTCTTGCCCTGGCACTGTGGCTTTTCAGATGCCCTCAGCCCCTGGGATGAAGGAATGAGGGGGAAATGCCAGCAGTTTCTTACAGTCTGGGTAACCCCAAACTGTGCTCGCCTGACCCAAAAGAGAGACCCTTCTGCAGTTTGGGAGGCTGAGTGGAGACCACCAGTGCCCCACCTGCTGGCAAAGGAGGGCTCTGGAAGTCGGTGCTGCCACCCTGGCCGGGAGTCCTGAGCTGCAAGCTGGCAGTGCCTGGGGGGGACTCTGATGTACATTACTGGAAGGAAGCCCAAGCCTCCTTGTATTTTAAGCTAGAGCTTCAGGGACACAGTGAGTGGGAATGCGGGATGCTCACGGCTCAACTTCCTTCCCAACACCCTGCAAGCCAAGAAGCCAGGTCCAGCCATGCGCACGAGCCCCTCCCAGCACAGTCCCGCACCCCAGCTCCCTGTCCAGAGCACGCTGGCAGGGGCCTGGCCTTCCGGAGCACCCCCGAGGTGCTGGCCCTCAGGACACTCTGCCAGAAGGGTCCAGGGCTCGGTTCCTTTTCCCAAGGTTGAGGAAAAGCCTCCAGTACATAGGTCAGAAGACAGCGGCTCTCTCAGCTTCCAGGGCCAGATTGCTCAACCCCTCTCCCTCCGCCCCCAAGCCTTATCTCTGGCATCAACCCAGGTCCTGTTCCTCCAAGGGACAGACTCCTCCCTCCTCCCACAGGGACAAGATCCTCGGAGCCTGTGGAAGCTCCAGCCACAGGAGGCGGTTCCGGCCTCTGAGCCGTGTCCATTCCCACCTTCCAAATCAGAGGAGAGGGGGCAGGGAGGAGGGCGACAGAGGGGTGGCCAGCTGCAAACACCTTGCCTGCCACACCTGGGCACAGCCTGTCCTGGCCGCAGAAATCAATCAACCACTCCAAAGGTGGAGGCGGTTAGGATCCCTGAACCAGAGCCAACCCGAGGCCCTGCTGGGAAAGTTCCTGACATGCAAAGAAGGGTCTCCGATCCCTCTCCCAGGTCAACATCTGCCCATCCCCACCTCCCCACTTTGTAGACTAGACTCTCACGTGCTGGGGGCTCCAGTCCTGTGAGGGCAGCAGGACAGCAGCAGGCTGGGTGTGTCCGTACATCGGACTGGAAGGAGAATCGGTGAGTGGGCGGGGGTGAGAGAAATGAGAGGGAAATGGAAGAGCGGGGTCAAGAAAGAGAAAGGTGGGAATCCCAGAAAAATGGAAGGAATGCTCAAGGTCCAGGCCTGAGCTACGGAGTGTCACGTGAGCTATGGTCATCAGTGAGCAGGGACTCCAGGAACTCAGGGAGATGCCAGAGGGGCTGAGACCCCAAACCACTGTCTTATTTTCAGTCCCTGCAGGGGTCACCGGGATCCTTGGGAAGACCAGGAGAACCCACTTGGGTATCTCCCAAGGCTCACTGAACCCCCCGTTTGTAGGAAGGAGCAGCTGTCCCCAAGGACTGGAGGGGCAGAGTCCAAGTTCGGAGGAGATAAACCACACTAATCGGTCCGTCACATGGCAGCTCACACAGGGCAGCTGATGTAAGCTGGAACCCACAGGCACCCCCAGACTCACACAGGGTCCTAGCTTCCCCCCAGGGACGGAGCCTCCCAAGTCACGAGTGGGTGCCCCGTTACTGCTTCGGGAGCCCTGGGGCCACCTACAGGCTTGGCTGGGTCCAGCCCCGGTCCCGCAAACTCCCCGTTCCTGGGGGGAAATCCACAGCTCGGCTTTCCCCTTCCTTTGTGCCCTGTTCTTTGTTCTCTTAAAATTCAGTCCATCCTGCCGGTGGTCCCCTCCTCCACCCCAGCCTCAGAAAGGGGGCCGAGGGGGTGGGGAGTTATTAGAAACCCAGACTGTGCAAAGAAGTTGCGTTGCTGGAAGCCCTCCTGTAACCGGGCCTCTCATTGTTTACGCGGGCTGGATGGGGAGAGCTTGCTCTGGTCCAGATGGCCTCTGAGAGTAAGGATGAGGGAGTCTCCTCCCCCCCCAGCACCCAAACACCCTGAAGAGGAGCTGGGGGCTTCACACAGCTCAGGGACCCTTGCCCCGTTCAACTGCTCAGATAGAGAGCAAAGAATAGGCACTGTGGACGCAGCCCGGGGACGTGGGAGCCTGTCAGGTTGCAAGGGGCTGTAAGAAGAAAAGAAAAAGCATTGTATTTCCCCTCCATTCTCCCGGGGAAAAAAGAAAACTTCCAAAGCGCAGGCTGCGGCGTCTCATCGGGAAACAAGGAATCTGGTTTGAGTTAGCAGAGAGCACCCCTCCCCCAGTCTCTCTCTCATACACATACACATACACACACACACACACACACACACACACACACACGCGCACGCACGCACGCTCACACGCCCCGGCTCGGGCTCCGGCCTCCCCCAGGAAGCCCGCCTAGCCTCGGCCCTCCAGCCCTCGCTCCGATTCCCGCTCAGCACTCACCGGAGGCGGCCCGGCCCACAGAGTGGCTCATCGGGACGCTGCCCGGGCAGGGGGGCAGTTTTGTGCCCCCGATGGGGGGCGCTCCAGGGAGGGGGCGGAGCTAAAGACGGCCGATCCCAGTTCCACCGCCCCAAGCGGGCGATTAAATCATTAACCGACCGCTCCCGGCTCGTGGCCAGGCCGGGAGCGCTCCGCCGGGTCCCGCGCGTAGCCCCTTCCCGGGCTCGGAAGCGGCCCCACCCCGCCGGTCGGCGCCTCGGCCTACCCCCGCCTCGGCCTCCAGGTCTCCCGAGGAGGCGGGCGCGCGGGGCGGGGGGCCGGGCGGGGAGGGAGGGGTGGGGAGAGAATATTTGTTCCCTCGGCCGTTCCCCTTCCAGGCAGCTCTTCGCCCCTCTTCTCCCCGGCCCGGTGACATTGGGCGGCGTGTGCTGCAGCGCGCGTACGAGAGATAGTGTACACGCCTCCGCCACTACGGGCGAGTAATCCGGTTCTTATTCATGGAGTACTCTGTGCACTCACGCCCCCCTCGGGGAGACCGCGGGCCGCGCGCCGCCGAGGGCTGTGCTCCTGCCCCCAGGGACACACACCCGGGCAAAGGGGTGGTACGTTAAAAGCCAGGTCCCCCGTCCCACCGCACCGTCATCCCCACCCCCAGCAGCGCCCGAGGCGGCACCGGCGAATCCCAGTCTGGGGAGAGGAAGTCGATTGGGAGCGGGATTTCGCCGGACTCTCTGCCACCCCGTCCTCCCCAGCCCCGCTCTGCACGGACACAGGGTGCGTGGCCCCGGTCCCAGACACCCGGGCCGCCCCGCACTCGCCCGGGCCCCAGCCCTGCCACACGGGGCGGGCGCAGAAGTGGGGAGCTCTGCCCCGCTCCCCTCCCCACCGCCCCTATCGCGGTTTTTTCAATCCCCTCTGCTCCCTAGGGCGGCTCGAGGTCCCCCAACCGAGCCCACCCAGGCCCCGCAGGGCGCAGGTGGCTGTCACGGCCAGAAGCGGGTGCCCGTCGCCTACCTGGGTCCGCAGAGACGTGAGCGCCGGGCCGGCGCGGCTGCGCTCTCCCCTCCGTGGGCTCCGCGAGGCGCCGGGGCTGACGACCCATGTCCGCGCGGCGTCGGTTTCTCTCTGGCTCTCGGGCTTTCGGGGCTGGGAGCCTCTCGGACACTCCCCTTCCAGGCTCCTCCCGCGCCCCTCCGCGCTGATGTCACCGCGCCGCCGCAGCCAATGGCGGTTGGGAACCTCAGCCGGGCCGCTCGGCCTCCGCGGTTCAAATCAGAAAGCCCAAGACCCCGGGAGCTTCGTCGGGGGGCGGTTCGGGCCGGGAGGCCATCCTGGACCCGGGCCGGTGGAGCCCCGGGGCGCCCCCGCCTGGCTGCGCTCCGGCCCTGACCCCCCCCCCAACCTGGGGCCACGGGGTCAGGGGCGCGACTCCCCCCGGGGGCCTAGCACGAGACCCTCCTGAAGCTCTTCTCCCTTCCGAGCAGTGACCAGACAACAATAGCCCCCGCCCCGGGGCGTTTCTGCTGCCTCCCTCCCCGACCCAGGACGAGGGAGATGCAAGCCCCCAGGGTCGGCGCCGCCTGGGTGTGGATTCCATCCCAGCCTCTTACGGGAAACGAGATGGGGGAGGAGCCGGGCCCCGAGGCCAGGCCCGGAGCGGGTGTAAGAAGGGTTTGGGCCTGGTGACCTGCCTTTGATCCTCCTGCTTTCCCCTGTGTCCCTTGCCTCCTGAGTAGCCTCCCAAACGGAGTTCTATTCCAAGTGAGCCTCAGGGGCGATGCACTCCTGAGACCCGCGGCCTGAATCCTATGAGAATCTTTTTAGAGGAGTAACTTCCATTGGTAAATGATCGTTACTAATAAAGTGGCCCAGGAGAGTACACAGCACAAAGTGAAAGCTCCCTAGCTGTTAGCAGCTCCATCGCCTGGGTTTTTGTTTTAAGAGAAGGGGATCCGGGTGGCAGAGACCACCAGACTCCCTCCCACTGACCTTCAATGGGACCCCTCAGTGGGTCCCTTTGGGCTGGTACCTTCCCGGACAGGGCTCCCAGTAAACCCTCCCCCAGTGCTGGTATCTGAGGTCCCTTCCACCTAAAATCAAAGCTGAAGTCTTATCTGTGCCCTAAAACTTTCCTGATTCTCTGAGGCACCTCCCCCCACCACTTCTCTTTCCCTCCATTGTTAACCAATTATTTTGTCTTTAGGTCTAGCTGTTAGTAATTGGTTCTCCTTTAACAGGTGTCTGTCCTTCCACAAACATTGAAAGTTCATTGAAGTTTGCCTATGGGGATAAAGGTGAATTAAGTCCAATCCCTGCCCTCAGTAGGCCCTCAGTGGTTACAGGCTGCTCTGGGAAGGAGCTCAGCAGATGCTTCTCGAGACTGGTCACCACTGCATTGCTAGCACACTGGCAGGGAGTCTTGATTGAAAGAAAGTGCTGGGAAGGATAAATTAGGAATTTGGGAGTAACATATACACACACTGTATATAAAATAGATAACAAGGACCTACTGTAGAGCACAGGGAACGCTACTCAATATTTGTAATAACCTATATGGGAAAAGAATCTGAAAAAATATATATATATCTGAATCACTTTGCTATACACCTGAAACTAATACAACATTGTAAATCAACTATACTTCAATTAAAAAAATGAAATAAAAACAAAGTGCTAATTTTCTCTGATGGTTGGAATCCCAGATCTGTGAAATTCGAGTGGCCTTTGCTGAGGCTAAGTTCTGCTTGGAGCTTTCAGACTAGAGCTGCCTACAGATAATCAGAGGAAACTAACAAAATGGAAAACTTGAAGCTTGAATACCTACCTTGAAATTTCTGGCAAGTTCCAAGCCCCTGACTTTGGAGAAGGATTTGAGGCCGGGACGTGTGTCTCTGCCTGTTCTAGCTGCTGGGACCTGCCCATGGGACTTGGGCGTGTGTGATTCTCACAGCTGCACGGGCCTGTCTTCCCACACCTGTCCACCCACCCCAAACACACACATCCCAGCGTTTGTGAACACTGGGTTCTGAGCATTTTGGTTCGCATAATTTGGCCCCAACCCTAGCAGGGTCAGTTATGTTGGTTAATCCTGTTCCCTTATAGAGGAATTGGAAGACCTCATTCACTCTGGTCTGGTGTTTGCCATAAAGCATGACGCTGGGCAGATCCTGTCACTTTCTGGAAGGTTCCTTCCCACACAAATGCTCTATGACTGCCCATATCTATTCTGAGTCCCCCACCCCCTGAATTTCCTTCTCCCGAGGTTAGATGAGAAGGTCTTGGATGGACACCTCAGGGTGTCACCAGGGCCTGACGTCAGCACAGTTTGGGGTGGAGCCTCGGTGACCTGAGGCCCTGCCCCCTCCCTGGGCCCTTCACTCCCACTGTTCTGGGCAGAGGCTCTTTCATTCCTTGGTTCCCTGTTCTTGGGAATCACCTGGGGCCCTTTCTCGGGGGCCTGGGCAACTTCTGCAGTGCAACCTGGGAAAATCCCCAGGATACCAGGCCACTGGCAGAGGGCCTGGGGCTCAGGGCGAGGCCCTCCACTATGTGCTGCAAAGGCCACCTCTGGGGGCTCTGTTGCCCCAGGCTCCAGGCACGTGAACCCACCCCCTCACCCACCCTGAGAGTAACACGTCAGGGCTCTGGGGCAGCCAGTGCACCTAGAGAATAAAACAACAGGTTGTCTCCATGGGATCCTTGGGGACAGGATTGTGTCTGATTGGTGTCCGAATCCCCAGTGCGGGTTGGAACTGAGCCGTGTTTAGTAACGCCCCAATGAGCTCGCTGGGTCTCGTTTACCCTCCTGAGATGGCAGCCCCCGAGGACTCAGAGGTTGAGGGAGACACTGGGTTTCAGAAGACCCCTGGCCTAGAGGGAGAGACACTGTTCACTAGGCTGGGGACTCTCTGGGGACAGGAGGTGGCAGGAGGGTTGAGCTGAGCCGGGACAAGGTGACGGGGGTGTGGGTCAGGGGTGGTGGCAGAGCACAGAGGCCATGGAGTTTGCTGAAATGAGTCCAGATGTCCAGATGTGGAGTCAGAACCTCTGGATTGTGTGACCTTGGTCTGAGTCACATCTGTAAGGCGGTAACAATCCAGACAGGAGGTGATCAGGAGCGTGGAAGGAGACAAGCATGTGGCCTTGCTCTGTGAACTGTCTAGTCTGATGGAAGGGAACCACAGTTAATATTATCATTGCTGAGTCAAACTTCAGGTTTCTGGGGACTGTGGCCCCTCCATCTGCCTGCCAGGGAAAGAACAGATGACATAGCCCCCTCCCCGCCCCACGCCCCACTTAGGAGGCCTGTCTGTCACTGTTCATCATCATGTTATCAGCACGCTGCCCTGACCACTGGGAGTTGGGACATTTCCAGAAAGGTGGGTGGTGACACTAAATGTCTTGTTTATGCAGGAGGGAGAAAAGAACGCACAAGAAAGATACAACCAGAGCCCTGGGCTCCACAGAGCCTTAGCATAGACATCAGCTAAAGACGTCTGGGAAACAGGGACCCTGGAAGGAATGTTCCATGTGGTCCCCAGAGTCCTGAGGCCCAGAGCTTCACCCACCAGTGACCCCTGGGACAAGCAAGAGAGTCTAGCCTTGCCCACCGCCAGCCACCCCCACGCACCCCCCCCGCCCCCCGAGGCCTCCTCTTGCCTCTGGATAAGGACCACAGGCCCTGGGTGTGACAATCCCACTGTCACTCTCTGACCTGAGAAAAGTCACTTGAGCTCCCGGGGCTCAGTTTTCTCATCTGTAAATGGGGACCACATGGTGTGAGGTTGGTGGATAACTCAGGTCAGAGGTCGGCGTACAGCCCAGACCACACCGAGGGCCCCCCAGGTGGACACTGCCCAGTCTCAGAATTAAGGGCCAAGTGAGACTTTCTAGAACAAATTTATTGCTGAGTGTCCGTCCTTGGGCACAGAGTGGGCCCATCCCCGCTTGTGTTTCCCAGAATTGAGCTAACAGGAAGATGAACCACATTATCTGCAAGAGGCCGTCCTGGGCTTCTGATAAAGGTGTCTGTCGGGCTCTGGGGCTGAGGAGGAGGGGGCTCCCGCAGATGGCCGCACTTTCTGTTCTTGTCTCTGGGGAGAGGTGGGCAGAGCCCCAGCTCTGCTGCAGGGCAGCTCCTGACAACCAGATGCCCTCCTGGGCCTCCGGAGAGATGGACAGAAAAGGGACTGGAGGAAGGAAAGAGCATCTGTTTGTGCCCAGAAAAGGCTTGCCTTCTCCCCAAGAGACCGGCTCGGAGGCACATGCAGCCTAAATCGAAAGCACTGAGAAAAGGCAAGGGTTGCTGCCATGTGTTGAGACTTTACTGGAGGTTAGGAATTCTGCATCGAAATCCTCGTTGCTATCATGCATGAGTTCCATTATTCAGATTAAAAACAGGAAAGGCTAAACAACTCGCCCAAGATTGCACAGCTAAGACATGGGAAACCCTAAGCGGTGGGGCTCTGGAGCCTAGAGCTCCAGCCACAAAACCACGAGACAGCAGGAAAGGAAACAGATTCTGGCTGAAGCATGAACGATCCTGTTACCATAGAGCCACGGCGGGCAAGGGACAATCGCTAGAGGAGACTGGGCACCATCTCACCAAGCCGACTCCCATCTGCCCGAGAAGGTTCCACATTGTTTCAAGGAGAACTGACACACCCTGCTTCAAGGCAGTTACGATAGTATCATCACCTTCTGCCCTGTCACCACACTCCCCCAGCCCACATTCACGCCCAAGGCCTCAATTCAATCTGTTCCTGGGGCCCAGTGCACAGCCCAGGCTTGGAGAGGAGAGGAACTGAAGGCATCACTCAGCCTCCTCTCTGTCCCAGTGTGATTTGACACATCTGCCCAGATGTTCCAAGCGCTTAAAGGAACCGCCTTCTCAAATCCACAGCTTCTGGTGTCTGTGTGTATTTTGTTGGGGTGCTCCCACCTCCTTCCCTTCCTTTGCACTGAGCCCCCCAAATCCTAGACCTTTGGGTAGAACATCTGTTGCTTATGCACTTCTGTCTGGCGTCTCGCTACACTTCCCTAGCCCCCTGGGCACACAAAGGGAGGCTCTTCTGCAAGAAAGGAGCTTTAAGGGACATCTGTCTTACCCTCCTGAGTCTGCTGCCCACGTTCAAGGCAAAGGCATTATGTCTTGAGCCAACGGCTGCAAAGAAGAGGTGAGAGTGGAGAAGGGTCTGACATCTCTGTATCTCTTCTCATTGTGGGGAGAATAAGAGGCGCAGAGAAACAGGTCTGTGGGCTGGGTCTAATTGTCAAAGCTCATCATGGTGGCTACAGAGTTTGTTTTCTCTTCTCCAGAGTTTTCAGTTTCCTAAGTGTGGTCTTGGCACGCGTGTGTGTGTGCGTGCGTGTGTCTGTGTGTATGTCCTTCCTCTGCTCCTGTGACGCCGTTGAGTCATAACAATAACGCCTCCTAGCCAGATGGCAAGGCTAATTTACACTTCCCAGCTTGATGGCCTGATGCCTCAGGACGCTGTGTCCCCTCTCCAAGCCCTCTGTCCCTGCCACAAGCCAGTTGCTCCCCAGAAAGCAGCTGCAGCTGAAGGCAAAAGATGTGTTAGGTGAGTGGGCAACGAGGAGTGAGTTTCAGGCAGCAGACTGCCCCAGGCCCAGTGCAGCAGATTTCTGAGTAGCAAGCAAAATCCCAGCTGAGTGGCGTCTAGGGAGTACTCCAGCAAAGAAAACCTTTTCTTGTTCAAGTCCATCTGGGGGTTTCCCTGGTGGCGCAGTGGCGAAGAATCCGCCTCCCAATGCAAGGGACACGGGTTCGAGCCCTGGCCCGGGAAGATCCCACATGCCGCGGAGCAACTAAGCCCGTGCGCCACAACTACTGAGCCTGCGTTCTAGAGCCCGTGAGCCACAACTACTGAGCCCGCGCGCCTAGAGCCCGTGCTCCCAACAAGAGAAGCCACCGCAATGAGAAGCCCACGCATCGCAACAAAGAGTAGCCCCCGCTCGCCATAACCAGAGAAAGCCCGCGCACAGTAACGAAGACCCAAGGCAGCCAAAAATTAAAAACAAATAATAAGGGCTTCCCTGGTGGCGCAGTGGTTGAGAGTCCCCTGCCGATGCAGGGGACGCGGGTTCGTGCCCCGGTCTGGGAAGATCCCACATGCCGCGGAGCGGCTGGGCCCGTGAGCCATGGCCACTGAGCCTGTTCGTCCGGAGCCTGTGCTCTGCAACGGGAGAGGCCACAACAGTGAGAGGCCAAATAAATACATATATATTAAAAAAAAAAGGCCACCTGAAGTTTACTGGGAGAGAGACCTGGGGTGAGAAGGCTTATAGGTCTTGAAATGGAATCTATAAGAAATTAATTACATGGAAATTTGCAGAAGAGAATGTTTTTCCCTTTTTTTTGAGCAGATATTTGGGCTAATGCTAGCAATCACCTAGGCCACTCACTTTATACAACAGAATGTAAAATCCAGAGA